TTTCCCTTTTTTTTTTCCCACTCAACTAATTACAAAGAAGGATGTCTAAACTACTGAAATGCAGAAAGCCCAAACCACATTTTCATGTGGTTAAGTGCTCAGCATTTGAATTCATGAGACTAATGTGAATCTTGATTTGACTTAGTTAATATCAACAAGGAACTTCCACTGAACATCAGACAGGATCCATTTAGTCTGGGCTCAAGGAAACCAGCATTAACTACCCTGAGAAAGTAACTAACATAATTCAAAATAAACAATTCCAGAATAGCCAGCTGAGAAAGAAACTTTTCTCATAGCCTCAGACAGTTAATTTATTGGTTATTTGAAAAATAGCAGTTAATATCTCTTAGAGTGAAATATTTCAGACAACATGGACTATTCAAAGGAACTTAAGGGACAGAGAGGCTCAGCTGTTACTCAGTCTTAGTCCACAATTAAGCTTAATTTGCTTGGTTTCCAAACCTCACAGTTCTCCACTCTAGCCAGCACACATATGCATATCCTTTTTAGAAGACAAAACTACTAATTCCTCTCATCTATCCCATCTGACTTGGACATTCACTGCAAAACAGCACAAATTCCAGTTCAGACTGGATTAATTATTGCTGTACCAACTGGCTTGCCCTTTTCTAGGCAGATGCTTATCAAGGCTTGATAACAAATTGGTGACATCCTCAAAATGTATTTTGTTCTTGGCATAATGACGAATTTGCTGTGACTGACAGCCTGGTCAGACACATATTGTTCTTCAGTGATACCTAGCATGATAACTAATACTAGCGTAAAGTGAGTCACATCTGTAGCTGTTTTACCTGGAAGAGTTGACTAAAAGGATAAGAAGATGAGCTGTATTCATCAGGCCCACTTTATTACCTCTTAACTTAGAAAATGATTGATTGGATAGTATGGGAATGGAAATGTGTCAGGCAATGTCACAATGGCTGCATCTCTTGGACACGTCCTGTTTAAATGCATCAAACTCTAACCCAAACACTACATCAGAGTGGGTGACAGGTTCATGCTTGGCTCAGTGCTGCTGGTTTCACTGCATCTGAAAGCAGACTCACAGACAGTGTGGTGTCTAATTTACTTGTAAAATCAGAGAATTCCGATTTCAAGGGTTTCGTTTAAATGAAAATTCAGATTCTGGAGAAGAAAACAAAACCCACTAAAACAGGAAGGATGGTATTGTGGTTAAGTTTCTAGTATAGGGCTGTGAAGACCTGAATTATGTTCCATTCCTAGCCCTTCTGCAGATTATCTCACTCTCTGACTTCAAGAAAATCACTGAATCTCTTGGTGCTACAATTCCCCTTTTCTAAAGATGATGCTGGTGATTTGATCAGTGTAGATACTGAGCACATTCATGTAACTGCTATCATGTACAGTATCAGCACAAGAGAGGCTCTAACCTCAAAAGACAAATAGTCAAATATAACTCTATTTACTGAACCAAACTCTAAACAATATGCTGTCCCACAGACACATTGGCCTGTCCATTAATCCAGATGCATAACAGAATCAGTGTCTGCTTCTATTCTCAAAAGCTAGGAAAAAGCTAAAATGGGGAGTGCCTGCTGATTTCCTAAGCCTTTCAGGTTTTCTGATTTTTTTTTTTTTCCTGGAGGACTGTCTCTGCAGTGGGGATGAATTCAGCAGGGTGTGGAATGCCCCATAATGGAATCTATACTGGCGAATACCACACATGGTATCACAACCTCATCCCTCCTGGTGGTTTCAGAGGGTGAGGAAAGGTTTGGAGCACAAATAGAGGAAGCTCTGCCTGCATTATTCTGCTGTTAGTTGGGCTAAGTTTGGAACACTAATGAACAGGCAAATGTCTCACATATCCCCAACAGAAACAGTACTCTCTCACCTTCAAAACTATCTTCAAAACCATGTTTTTTCTCCTGCTGCCTCCTGGCAGACCTTACCTGGCATCCTTATTCCCAGTGCTTTCTAAACAGATTCCCTGTCACCTTTGTCCTGTTTCTAGCCAGTAAGCCATGCTCCTGCTGCACAAATGCCCAGCAATTCCTCTGAATTTTCTGTCATTTTTCAAAACAATGTTTACAAAATAGGGCTAAGGACTTTCATTTTTAACAAAGGCTGAGTTTGTTCTTTATCCTAACTTTTGGAGGTTTACTGATACAAACCTTTAGAGCAAAAGCATTTGCTTTCCTGCTCTAGAAACAAGGGAGAAAGGAAGATGGGGTAACGTCTCCCAATAATTTTCTCTCCAGATTTTTCTTTTCTTTCCTGAGACCATCAGTAGGGAAGGAAACACAATTTGTTTCTCCACATGGAGAAAAATAGGCATTTCACATGGAAGGCTTTATTTACCAAATAGACTCTAAGTCTAATTCACCTTGCAAAAAGCAGCAAGTGCTCCTTAAGCTGCCAGAGCACAGCTCAGAATCACCTGGCCTGGCAGCAGTGTTTTCAGTCCTTTATCTAGAGATGCTTCCCCGTGTGCTCTGGCCAGCAGCTCTGCCCCGTTCCCCTTTGTGCGCTGCCCTCTGCTGGGTACAGTGACAGCACCCTGTGGCATCCTGCCGGCACGGAGCTCCTCCAGGCACACACTGCCGGGGGCTACGGCGAGGGAGAGGATGCAGGAGAGGAAACGGAAGGATGGAAGGGAGAGTTACAAAACCAAAACATGAGTGGGTAAAACTGAAGATTTCCCAAGAAAGCTCAACTTGTGGGACCCTCACATCTAAACCTTCAACTCCTGTCACAGAAACTTTACTCACTGTGCAAATCTCCTTCACACACCACAGCTGAAGCCCATTTCTCCTGGGCAAGTCTTTCTAAGGCACTTCATGGAGCACCCTGGACCACTCTCACTGTGCTTCACGTAGGGATGGTGTCAAACTCCATAAGCAGCAGCCTGACACGCTTGGCTTCTGGTGTCCAAGCTGGCAGGTTCACTCCATCTCTCTCCTCTGCAACTGGGAGTTCACCTACCCAGTCGAGCCTTGCCAAGCTCTGAAGCTTTGCAGCTGAATATTATTACCACATTCCTGCTCAATGAACACAAGTTACTGGATGGACACTTTGTCAGCGGCACTAGACAGTCCATGCCAGACAGACTGCAAGAGCACCTGCAGGATCTTTCTTTCCCCTGTGATCTTACAAAATTAAAAATTATATGAGAGTGAAACAGCTTTCCTGGCACATCTACAGCAACCTTCAGCCAACTCTGTCTCATGTGAGAAACACGCACCCCACTGTGCTGCATTACAGCCATGAAGTGCTCTGCCCTTAAAAGCCACAGACGGCAGGACAAGGCTGCAGCAGCAGGGAGGGAGCTCGCTGGGCGCCCCGGGGGCTGGGGGAGGAGTTAAGAGGATCTGAGCTGTACTTTTGGTTCTGATTTACCTTATCTTGACAGAGTTGAGCACTTCAAAACCCTTTTCTTTGAAGAGTGTGGGGGAGGAAGGGGACTTTGTCTTGCCTAAGTAGACTTTAAGCTGTTAAGGGCAAGGCCTGGCTGTACTACCTATGTGAACACCAACAGTGCCATATCCAAACCAGCTGTGGAATCTGCTCCTGCATGGAGCACGCTATGCCAAAGAGTGCCAATATTGCATGTTTAAATACTAAGGGAAGTTTCAGTTCCACCAGTCCTTCATGCATTTGCTTTACACAAATGAGCTTCCCTCAGCAGCTTATGCCAAACCTTGACTAAAGCTCTGTTGCTCAAAACTTGAGAGAAGAGTCTGAGCATAAAGTGAATCTCTGTGCAAGGTCTTAAAATTAATGGCATACTGCTTCTCTGAATTCATGACAATTATTCTCTTGCATGACAGAACATAAGCAGTAAATTTTGGTGGCTAAAACATCATCAAAAATTTCAAGATTCACCCATTGTACACTGGCTGCACATCACTATAAGGTGCTGTATTGCCATCAGGTTAAGTCAGTCTGTGATCACACTGGATTTTGAAAATAATATTTAGTCTCAAAGCAAGAAATACATTCCCTCAACTTCATCCCAAAGGATAACTGACAAGGCATTGCCAGCCCCTCTCCCCTTAATCACTTGACAGAGAAAATTCCTTTGCATTGTTACAAAACATCTTGTTAACTACAGGGAAACTTCTTGGCCTTTAAAACGTGGTGGTTATTTAAGAAACATCCTATTTGGAAGAAAGCACACTTTACTGGGCCTGCTTAAGGAGCACATAAGACACTGGTGTGGTATTTGAGGTTTCAAATCTCCTTCTGGGTGAGCAGGAGAGCATTCCTGCACTGGCTGCTGGCAAGGTTATAAATACAGCTGGGATTTGAACAGCTACTTTTAATTCTGATTACTCTGGAGAAAACCCCAGGGAAATTCTGCTTTAAGAACTCAAACCCCAGTGTAGCATCTTTACAGTCTTCTCAGTGGAAGGACCATATGCTTCTCTGAATGTTTTTGCACTTTGAGATTATTAGTCTAATATTTTGTCCTTTCTTTAACATTTAAGTTATACATTAAGTCCTCTTACCTCTTCTGTCCATGCTGACCTGTTACCTCTGAGGAGAGCAGCTATTTTCAGTTAAACCTCCCTGCAGTGGTTGCTTGCTTGCTGTTCTTGCCATTTCCCCCCACGTTTTGAGACAGCTGACATCAGAGCCTCATCCATCACCTACCTCTAGTGTCCCCTGGCCTCCCTGGGGCCTCAGAGCGATTCCATGCTCGGATTTCCCCCGCAGCACCTCTCGACCCTGCCCGCGGGCACCGCCTGCTCCTACGGGGCTGTTCGGAAAAAAAAAGAAAAATAAAAAGGCAAAAAAAAAAGGAGTAAACCCAGGCGTAGTGGGATAGAACAAGAGAGGTTGAAGAGCATCCCCAGCGGCGGGGCAGGGAACCCGCTGGGCGTTCTCCGGAGGCGGTGCTCAGGGCCACCCAGTCTGAGGAAAGCGAAAGTGAACGTAAGCCACATGTTTTCCGAGAAGGCGGGGAGGAGCCGACCCGAGCGTTAAATAAAAAGCCGGGGCGATGCGCCGCCACAGAGCGCTGGAGGTGCCGCTCGCCCGCCCGCCCCGCGGCAGCCCCGGCTCGCCGCGGCGCCAGGCAGGGCCCCCGCCGGAGGATGCTCGGCCGGCCCCCGGGGCCAGGACCTGGACTAGCAGCAGGACTGGGACGGGCAGCATGTGCTGCGCTCCGGGGACGGCCCCCACCCGCGGCACCCCGAGGTAAGGGAGGGTGTCTGCTCAGGGAGTCCGCGCCAACAGCGACGTGCACCGAGAGGGCTCGGGCGCCGCAGCCCCATGAGCTCTAGATTTTCGGAGGAGTCCTGCCAGATGTGCCAAGAGCGTGGTGGCTTCGGGAGTGTTTGCCCTTTTAATTTTTTTTTTTTAATACATTTTTTTTCCTCCCTTTTTGGCTCAGTGTCTGTGCTCAGACAGACCTGTTGTGCCTGGTGTAAAATAGTGGGACAAGCACTGAAGGGAACACGCAGCGGGGTTTGCAGGGCCCCGCGCAGGCGGCGGGAGCCGGGGCAGCCCCGGGCCCGCAGTGCCCTCACGGCCGCCGGGACCCGCCGGGCCGGGCCGGGCCCCGGACCCCGCAGAAGTCTCCGCTCCGCCGCAGTCGTGGCGCCCTTGTCCCAGATCCCTGCCCTGGCTTTCGGACTCCGAAGACTGGCGTGTCTCCTGTTTGCTCTGTGCGCTTTGGAAAAGCACTGCTAACTCTCGCTTGGCTCTCTACGGCTTCTGCTAGGGAGCCCTTTGATTTTTAGATCGCGGGCTTAATGCTTATTTCCCCCCAGGGTGTCCTGAAACTGAATTTTTAACTTTAAATACTGAGTGATAATCCTGGCTCAGTAACTGGAAAAACTGGCATCAGTTTCCGTCTGCTTCGCAAAGCAAGCCGAATGCTACTTTCAGCCTGTTACTAGCAGCTTAAGGATTTTATAACCGTTGTAGGTGCTTGAGGAAGTAATACGACCTAAATGAAACTAAACATCAAGTTGTTAAATTAGCACAGACAGGAATCCAGCGGCATGCTTTCTTAGAAATTCTCATTAGCATGTTAACCTGAACTGTGAGACGGGTGAGGGATTCATTTCTGAGAATCCTTCAAGGTTTCTCAACAAGCTGCTGTGCAGATCTATATCTGACTATAGGGATAAATCCTAAAATCTATGCTTGCCAGTAAGGTCAAGGCAGCCAGCGGAGATGTATTGAACCACACTGTCAGAGGCAGACATTTCAGGCCAAACTCATTCCTGGTGCAGCCCTACTAATTCCTTTGAAGTAACACGAGGGATGAATTTAGTCCCTCATGTTGAAAGATATATCAATAGGAAGCAATTTAGATTGGGCCACTTAAAGTGCATGTGATACAAAAAAGAGAGAGAGACTGCAGAGTAATGCTTTAAGGGTTCACAGAGGTTGATTTGTATAAGCTAGTAGGTTGTAGCATTGCTGTCCCAAGGGAAACTTGGGAGAATGGAAATAGCCTTTTATGGCTGAACCGTAGGTTAACAGGAGAGAGGAAAGAAGTTTTAGGATTACTGTGTAAAGTGACCTTGTTACAGGCTGCCCCTCCAAGTCATACACTTCAGTCATACTATAGAACCTCACCTCACCTCACTCTCTTCCCCAATTATCTGGGTACATAGCCTTCATCCACTTTCTCTTTCACAGAATGCATGCACCAAATAACAACATTGTGTGCTGAGTTCTGACATTGTAGTTGGGAAGGCAGAAAAAATGGTAATTCAGTTGATTTGTTGATTTGTTCTTTAAAAACTTGAGAATGGGAGAGGGTGTCCATGAGATGACTTCTCATTGAGAAGTCATTTGAGTTGCTAGGCCCTGAAAGGGCTCATAGCAGGGAAGCTTATTATCTTCTGTAGCTGTTAATGATCCTTGCTAAATATTTTTGGAACGTTGAAGTTTGCCATAGTGATAGGCTTCTAATCTTGTCCAAAAGAGAGCAGTTGCTTGCCTGGTGTAAATTGGGAAATGAATACTTTATTATTTGATAATGGGTGGGAGGTGTATCAATGGAAGAGTTGGTCATTCAGCGGTTGCCGTCTGTCCCTGGAGATCGATCTCACACTGTGTCTCTCCTTGGCATTTCAGAGTAGCTGCTGGAAGGCCGCCCTGCCGTAGCCGCTGACGCTATGGAAGACCGCATCCGCTGCTCTCGGCTGTAGGATGGTAGCGCACAGCAAGGTGTCAGCAGATAATGCACTTGGAGCAGACCCAAGACGGCTTCTTGACCCTCCGGCACGGGATTGCTCACAGGCACGAGGCTTCCAGGGCCCCGGCCGGCCCGGCACTGTGCAGGCACAGGGCAACACACACTTCCGAACCTTTCGCTCCCAAGCCGATTTCAGTAGCATCACTCGAGCCAGCAGCCTGCTGGATGCCTGTGGCTTCTACTGGGGGCCTCTGACTGTCAGTGCTGCCCACGAGAAGCTGAAGTCTGAGCCCGAGGGCACCTTCCTCATCAGGGACAGCACACAAAAGAATTGCTTCTTTGCCATCAGTGTTAAGACTGCAACTGGGCCCACCAGTATCCGGATTAACTTTCAGACTGGGCGTTTCAGCCTGGATGGCAGCAAAGAGACTTTTGACTGTCTTTTCAAGCTGCTGGAACATTACCTAAGCTCCCCGAGGAAGGTACTGGTTACCCCGCTCCGCAAGGTCCGGGTGCAGCCACTGCAGGAGCTCTGCCGCAAAAGCATCGTGAAGACTTTTGGAAGAGACAACTTAAATCAGATCCCACTCAATCCTGTTTTAAAGGACTACCTGAAATCCTTCCCATTTCAGATATAAGTGCAGCATTAACTGTATAGGGACACATTAGATATGTGTAACAAAATCCATCTTCCTGGATTTTTAATTATGTTTGACAGTGAGCAAACTTATTTTTGTAGCAGTTTACCGTATTTTGTGATGGAACCTGAACACTTGACTTCTTATGTTTACAAAAACTGTTTGCACAAAGCTGGGGTTTTAAAACCCTGGCATAATTTTTCTGCCAAGCAGAATATTTTACTATTTTATAATATTTTTAATGATATTAACATAATAAACTTTATTGTCACAGTTTTTAAAAAAATAGCATCTCTGGTTTTAGTTTTAAAGGCTCTGGCACCTATCCTGCTGACAGATTAACTACTTAAGTGAGTGTGTAAGTACAGACAGGTCTCCACATGGTCCTGCTTCTAGCAAATTAGTCTGTCTTAGTGCTGGTCCAGCAGGCAGAGGATTCCTGCGTGCAACAGCCTACAACAAAAAAGGACAAGCAAGTAGAAAATATACTCAGGGTGAATCTGCCCAGGAGTCCACCTCTCTCCTAAATCCATGAGAGCAGGAACAATGTATTAAGACTGCAGTGATGCATAGTTTATGACAGAGAAAATCAAACACTTGGCAGAGCAAGCTGCACCAACACTGGTTTGCCTTATTTCTGTGGAAAGGTGCAAAACCCTAAGCTAGAAGACATTGCTGTCTGACATAACCAAACCGCATGAACCTTGGTGGGGAAAAATAAAACTGTCCAGAAATGCTCTTCACACACTTTAAAAGTCTGTGAATGCTGTATCATTGTGGTGCATTGGGGAAAGGATAGCTTAGTTCTCTTTGAAAATTTGCATACACAAATGGCAAAGGTGCAGACATCCTTACACATTCAAAAAAAAATGCTTCTAATCTTGAATTCCTCCTGATTTACAGAGCAGAGATTTGGCATGTTAAAAGAATCTATGACTTAGATCCATGACAGGATCCAGAGAACATAAGCCTCTACATTTGCAGCTGTAATTTCTAGTGGCTAAACTGCATTCAGAGAAAGTTAAACTACATTATCTGTTCTGTTTCCATCTGCTCATGAAACACAAAAACAGTGCCCCCAGAAACTGCAGCTGTGAATGACTTGAAATGCCTGATTTGGCAAAGTGTCACCTGCATTATGAGAAAGTGATTCTCCTCTCCCCCAAGCATTTCCTGAAATCCATGAAAAGCTGGCTTAGAAAAACAGCTGAACCAAATCACTTCAAAGAAGGCACAGAGTCTTTCACAGAAATGTACTCTATCAACCCAGATCTACAGTGCTTACAGGAACTGCAAGCAGTAAATGAAGTCATCTTCAGAGTTTGGGAGATAAAAGATCTCTCCCTGTACTGTAATTCACATTCCTTTTAAAGATAAAGCCACTTTTAGGAGACTCTGAGTGTATGTTCTATAGTGATCCTTACTGAATCATTTGTTTAATATTTACCAAATCAGCTCTTACTTCATTGATATTTCTTTGGAATAAATAGGTTTCCTCCTTAGACATGACTAAGGATCACTCAGTGGATTGGACATGATGAAAAAAGGGAAAAAGAACACACAGGCAGTATCATGTGAGTTTCTGGTGTGTTGCTTCCCTAAAAATGTTCTTTGGATCAGTCCTAAAACAGCAGAAAGCATTTCTGCTTAATTCTAAAGCTGGAATTAGTTGTCAAATGATGCATGTTTTCCCACAGCAGCTGCAAGGATGTAAATTTGGGAAGTAGTGAATGCTGGGCTATGCAGCAGATAGGAGACTGGAGCGAAGTTACTGCCTGAATGTGAATAGCATTGTTAAATTGGAAAAAAAGTCTTTTAAGGGTGAAGGCTGCCAGACTGGTTTGCTATCAGCAGAGATTGTTATCCCTTCCCCATAGTCTTTCCCAGCTCCACACTAGTATCTTTTAACCCTTCAGGCTCTGAACTAATGGCTCTTGCCCTGTTACACGGAAGAGTGCCCACATGACAGCATTACTGGTAGAACAAGCACAATGTAACTGAGAAGGTTGCTCCAATGCAATAAGAAAATCCTAACCATAGCATGTGTGTTCACAATATCACTCTGGCTTTCCTTCTATAAGAGCAAATGAAGGGCTCTCTAAAATGTCTGCTTACCTGTGTACACTGATTTAAGAGTGGTGTCACATCTAAGGAGCACAGCAGGAATCTCCTGAAGATTTCTGTAGTAACTTCAGCTGTCAAATCTCTCAGCCTCAGTTTTAATAAAGCAGCAGCAAGGTCAAATAAGGAATTTGCAATACTCTGCACCCAAAGTAAAAGGAACATGCAACAGATTTTACTCTCTCCTGCTAAACAGTACATGAAGAGTGGTGATTCCAGTCCCTTCCCCTCACCCAGCTCTTTCCTCTGACCTTTTGACTGTGGCTGAAAAGTAAACAGTCACTCTGTTAAAGGACTATGGGAGAATTTGAGCCATGCTCAGGAGCCCAGCAAAGCCATGCTTTTGAAGAGGCTGCAATATTTACAGTTAGTGGGGAAGGGACAGCTTTAAGATAATGCCATTTGCAGCGTGGCTGTGTCAGCAGCAGGGTGGGCTCTGAGCTGGACCCAGCCCTGCTCCTGGGACTGCACAGGCCGCAGCGCTGAGGCCTCCTCGCTCTAGGCTGAAACACGTTTTACTTTCTGAGTAGTTAAATTACATACAATGCAACAGCTGTAAAACACTAACGAGCAGAGCAAATTAATAGACCTGTAGAAATTCAGAAAGCTGTTTATTTAAGCCGTGGAGAGTTACTGAGTGCTCTGGAGCAGGAGGAGGAGCTTGAACGCCAAGCAGGGCCGTCGCAGTGCTGAGGCTGTGGTCACACTAATTCTGTTATGATTGAAGTCATTTACAAGAAATGAGGCTTCAGCTGCAGTCAGCACTGATGCTATTTTCAACAGACAAGAAAAAAAGTGTCCCCTAGGGCAACACGCTGCCCATATCTAACCATCAATACTCTTCACCCCGCTGGTACTGAATCCTCTGTTGAACAGCACATCCACCATCCTTCTCCTCAGATCCAGGCTCAGCCCTGTCTGTTGTGCTGGGCTGGCATTCAGGCCCTGGCTCTCCTGCCACCCTCCATTCACAGTGCCAACAGTTGTGTGAGCAATGCATTCATTCATTGATTCCACTGATTTGTGACAAAGGCAGTGTAACAGGGACTTATTTTGGACTCCTCATGGCTTTCCGTGCTCTAAGTTTCCAGGAAGTTTCTCCCAATTGCCACAAAGTGCCATTCAAGACTTTTCATTGCCTCTCACTTGTCATACTTCTGCATAACTCAGATCCTGTCACTGTGTGTGTAGTTTCATCCACAGCTGTTTCCCAGTACAGCAGCCAGATTTGCAACACCCTAGTTGAATTTGCTCCTTGTGTCACCATGGAATAACAGAAACATGGGCCAGCAGGAAGTGTAAAGAGAAGCCCAACTTCTCCCACACAAACCACTGCTCAAGTAGGGCAAAGCAGCAAAGGCCAGAGTCAGAATATAAACTCCTGACTGACAGACAGCTGAGTTACCCATATGCCAGAAGATTTCCCCTCTGTCTGCAGCTCAGTGACATGCTTTGGATGTAGCTATTGAAGACAAGAATGATAGATAATTGTGCCTAGCAAAACAATTTCTCTATAGTCTTCAGCTATGAGAGGAGCAGATACACTGTGAAGATGGAATATCAGCCAAACAGAATAAAACAAATAACTAGCTGCACCATAAGCCTCATTTGCCCAGTTCCTTTCATTCTGTTCTTCTTTTTAGCAAGGCAAAGTAGGATCACCTTTCTGTTGTCATTTTAATCTCAGACACTCTTAGTTTCAGTTATTCTTTGTAGCTCCCAGCCAAGTAAAAGAATGGTAAATCTGATCATCACTCTTAAAGAGATACAGCAGATACCATCCAAAGATCTGTAGCAAAATTTTAGGTCCACCAAAATAAATTACCAGGGAATGACCGACTTCTCTGCAGATAGTTTTATTAAATAACAGTAAGTATCTTTTAAAATTAAATGCAATAGCTATGATTGCATCATGAAGGTTTCTTACTTGATAGAGCCTCAACAAATTCACAGGCTGAGAATGCTCTGTTTTGATGCTGTGTGTACACAAGGTTGTGTGCAATTTCCTACCTCTGTTCTTTGCACCTCTGCAGAGTATTTGCAAATCAACTCTGTGCCCTTCAAACTGAAACTGCCCTTCAAACCAAACTTTCCCCAAATCAACTTCCCTACAGCAGAAACTAATTATTACTGGAATTTGAGTCAGATTGAACTTTCAGACTGAGATTTTAGGTCTCCTCTCTGGGATTTGAACAACTTCTGGTTCCCAGTCTGAGCACTGAAAACAGAAGATAAAATACTGTCCCCAAAATGTCACAACATAGACTTGACTGAGGCTTACAGATTTTGTAATTCTCAGTGTAATAGTCTTATTTGGTTATTTCTTGACCTGCCTGTGTACCATCACTGTTCAGACAGTCTAGACAGATCTGGAGGTGGAGCTGGTATATCCTAGAGACTCATGAAACTGAAGTAGGATAGGTATTATTTCTAACATTACCATTAGGATGAATTTGGGAGATAAATCTGCCACTCAACAAGTAAGGTTAGTAGCTATTTTCTTAGCTCTGCCCAGATAAAAAACAAGAAATCATTTTGCTAGACTTTTCCAGCATCTATTCCACATAAACAGTCTGTTCAGAAATAGCTTTGACAAATGTTTCAGAAATTATTTTGTTTTCTGTCACACTTACATTCTCATTTGCTCTCACCAGGTCAGTTGTTCTCACCAGCTAATTTAAACAACTGAATTAGATGAAAATCAGAAGCTTTCAGAAAGTAACATAACTGCCAGGACCTGCCAGCTCAGTGCCTAAAAGACACTGTGTGAACCCTCCTCACATTTCTCCCTAGTTCCCAGCAAGGCCAGCTATACAAAATAAAATTAAGTGAGCCATGAAAGCTTTACAAGTGTTATATACAACTGCTTTCTGTTTAAAATAAACTGAAACTACATTTCAGTATCTCAAGCCTTTTTCAGGTCAAGATAGGATCTTCCCTTTACAAGTACAGAATATTCTTTATCTAATCTCTCACAGTCAGTCAACAATTACATGATTAACAGTAAATCCACCCTGGCCTAAGACTAAATGTATTATGTATAATTCACTCTCCCATGCAAATACAGGTCTTTTTGTTTTGAAGAAGCAGAAAATATTATGTTTTTGTAGGAAAAGGAGAAAATTCTTGTCAATGTCTGCAAAACTGGCAGAAGTTTTTCACATT